AGCCAGCCCTGCCTGCCCACCTGTGCCCGACTTCTGATCTTCCTTAGAACTGTGTTTCTGTTTCTCTCCCTGCCGTCTTCTCTCTGCTGCCCTGAACCAGAGAGCCAGCAGGACAACAGGGTGAGAGCTGTAGCCTTGGAGAACAGATTCATCTGGGTTTTGATCACATGGCAGAAGATCTGAGGCAAACTCCTTTTCTTCCTCTCTTTTTGTTACAACATAAACATCACTATGCATTACTTTTATTTTAATGTCTGCTTTCTTTAGTAGTTCTTCTCACAACACCTAATGATTATATATGTGTGTCCATCCCTTAGCAAATACACACAGCTCCGCTGTTAGCCATCCTTGCCGCCTTTTGTTCTACCTTCCTGGCTTCTTCTTTTTACCTTCATGCATTCCTGACAAATCTCCATCATTTACTTTTTATTATTTCCAACTACACATGTTTCTTTTCTTTTTTCTTTTTTTAAAATTGATTTTATTGGGCTCTATATTTTTCTCTGCTCCCCTCCCTGCCTCTCCCCTCTCCCCTCCAACCCTCTCCCAAGGTTCCCATGCTCCCAATTTACTCAGGAGATCTTGTCTTTTTCTACTTCCCATGTAGATTAGATCCATGCATGTCTCTCTTAGGGTCCTCAATATTGTCTAGATTCTCTGGATTTGTGATTTGTAGGCTGGTTTTCTTTGCTTCATGTTTGAAAAGCACTTATGAGTGACTACGTATGATAATGATAAATGTCTTTCTGGATCTGGGTTACCTCACTCAATATGATGTTTTCTAGCTCCGTTCATTTGAGGCAAACTCCTTTTAAGAGAGGTTTGTTTGGCTTACCATTTTGAAAACTCAGACTTTGGCAAGGGTTCCCTTGACTGTATCATACCATGGAGGAAGCGTGTTTATAGTTCTCGTTTGTGTGGTCCTCCTCATGAAGCCTAAAGGGTTCACTCATGAAGCTCATGCTAATGACCACATCAAATCTCCTCACTTTGCAGGACCCCACCTCTGAAGGCCATTATCAGGTTATGTTTTTATACTCTTAATACTCTAAACATGAGCCTTGGGATTAAACTCCTGCCTGAGTCTGGAGGAACAATCAATTTTGAAAGTCTAACATAGAGATTGTAGGCAGGCGCTGTGCTGTAGACAGACAAGCTAGTCACTGCCGGAGAGAAGCAGAGACTGCAAAGGCTGCTAGGAGAAGAGTGTGCACAGCCACCCAGAACATGACCAGCAGTGGCATCACTGGGGAATGGATTCAAGGTCCTCGGTGCAGAGCCGATGGACTCTCTGCAGTCTGGAACGTGTTCTCAGTTTCTGAAGTGGAGTGCTGAGGGTCTCAGCCACCTGGCTCCTTCTGTTATCTCCTTTCCTACGAGCATTGCTACACATAACAGCTTTTGTGGTGTTTTGAATGAACCATAGAGTTAGATCTATTAAAGTGGAGGATCAGAGATTGATTTCTCGTAGATGTCAGCTTTCGAAGAGCTGAAAGTGAAAGTCAGCTATCTCTACACACTAAAACTGGATAAAAAGATTATTGCCAAGGTACTCAGTGTAGATTCAGGGATAGTGAGGAGCTGGGCATAGAGGAGGCGCCTACTCTGGGGTTCATCTTCAGTGCTAGCACAGCATTCTGAGGTGGTGTTCGCTGCTGGTTAGTACTCCAGGACCTAGACCTAGACTGTTCCCTGAATTAGAAGTATAGTGTCCTAATTAACTGTCTGGAATTATCTTCGAAGAGAATCTCAATTAAAGAATTTCTTAGCCTATGGGCATGTCTGTGGGGGGTTGTCTTGATTATTAATTGATGTAGGGAGACCCAGCTCACTGTAGCTGGCACTATTTCCTAGGCAATTGGTCCTAAACTGCATAAGAAGCTACCTGAGCCAAACTCCCAATCACTAAGCCACACCATGGCTCCTGTCTCACTTCTTTGGGTGTGAACCCAGTCCCTTGGTTAGAGGTATGTAGAATAACACTCGGGCCCTCCTTCAAAGTTCTGCCCTGACTTCCCCCACTGGTGGACTGTGACTTGGGAGTGTAAGCCCAATAAACCCTTTTTCCCCTAAGCTGCTCATGATCAGAACATTTTACCTCAGCAACAGAAAGAAAACCGAAGCAGACAGCTTGTGGCTTTTAAACACAGTCAGCTGGCGCCTCACTTTTTCCTTCTTTTTTACTTTTTTATTTGACAATTTTGGGAGATCCTAGAAATATATACATATGTATGTGTATGATGTGTATATACGTAACATTTGTCTGTACCTACCTGCTTTGGAAGCCACTAAATGACCTGTGTCCCCTCTCTTCGAGGGTTTGGTTCGCATAGGTCATTACTAAGAGAAAGAAATCATTTGAGGGAAACTTCAACTCGTACAGAATCTCTCCCAGAACTTCATTACTCTGCATGTGGTAGTTAATAAGACAGAGATTTTAATAAAGTCCTGGTGACAGATCTTTTACTTTGCATAGTTAGAGTATTTGTAGTTCATGGTAGGGTATTTTATTTATGTTCATGATATTGTCTTATTCTTTTCTAGTTATTAAAAGTAATATAGTACTTTAAATATTTATGGAAGTCATTAAAGATGCAGCATGTGATATGAAAAGTTCTACTTGGTTTCTTTCTTTGTGTTTTATTAGCATGTGTTAATTATACATAATAATGGGTTTCATTACAGCATTTATATATAATGTATTTTTAGCGCTTTGCCCTCCATTATCCTTCTTGTTGCACTCCCTCTCTCCTGATCTTCCCACCTTGTACTCTTCCGTATTCATGCTTTTTTAATAAAAAATTATCTCATGCAGGTTTCTTCTCAGATCCTGGGTGAGGGGTTGTGTACAGGAGCTCGGGCTGCTTACCTGCGGCGATACCGTTAATGGAGGTGCCCCTTCCTCCCCTAGCAGCCGTTAGCTGCCTGGAGACCCGGGTCCACTCTTGGGCTTTCTGTTTCTTTTTGAAGCTGTCTCCCTCTGCAGCCAAGGCTAGCCTGCGGCTGGCGTGGTCCCCCTGCCTCTGCCTTCTGAGTCCTGGGATTGCTGGCTGTACCTCTAAACTAGCAACCTCCAATGTTCTTAATGTGTTTAACTAAAACTCTTCAGACACATCTACTGTGTATAAACATACGGAAGTGCAGGTCTATCTACAGTGTCTGTTATAACACATAAGTATAAAACAGCCACTTTTCTAAAATGATTTTATTATATTAAACAATTTATATATACAAAATCATTTTCTTCCCTTCCCCCAAGTTTGTCCAGAAATTCTCCTTCTTACTACCCAACTTTAAGTTCTTTCTTTAAAAGCAAACCAAAAACAAAATACAACAACAAAACACCCCAAACCTAGAAAATGAAACACAATATCACACAAAGAGAAAAGAAAACAAATCAAAAAACACCAAGCTGTAACCGCATAAAAGCACATAAAAACGATGCTGCCCATTCTGTGTTGGTGACCACCCGTGAGCATGAGATCCGCCCTGGAGTGGCTGATACACCCCGGGTCTCTCCCTTAGAGAAAACTCACTTCCCTTTCCTAGCAGGGATCCATGACAGTTCTGTTGTTTCCCTTCACCCTAGTGGCTAGATTTACATTCATTCATTTGGCTTTTAAAATAAATAACAAAGTAAAATATAAGATAAATAAAAACTATCTCAATAAAGTCAGACAGGCTGGGCCAACAGAAGGATAGAGCTGGAGAGGGCACACGAATCAGAGGCCCACTTGTTTGCACACTCAGGAATCTCGTAAAAACACTAAACCAGAAGATGTATATAAGCAGAGGAGCTGGTGCAGACCCGTGCAGGCCCTGTGCATGCTGCTCGGTCTCTGTGAGTTCACGTGAGCTTTGTTCATGTTGATTTAGAGGCCTTGTTTTCTTGGTGTCCTCCATCCCTTCTGACTCTTACATTCTCCCTGCCTCTTCTTCCTCTTATGGGGTTCCCTGAACTCTGAGGGGAGAGATTTTAGTTAATAGAACCATTACAAGTTAATTTTTACTAGTTTTAATGACACAAAGATTAAGAAACATCTTTGCAAATACTAAGAAAAGGTCCTTTACCAATTTAGTGATCTTCCTTCCTTCCTTCCTTTCTTTCTTTCTTTCTTTCTTTCTTTCTTTCTTTCTTTCTTTCTTTCTTTCTTTCTGTTTTATTTTTTCTTTTTTGTTTTTTAAAGACAGGGTTACTCTGTGCAGTCCTTGCTGTCCAGGAACTCACTCTGTAGACCAGGCTGGCCTCGAACTCATAGTCATCTGCCTGCCTCTGCCTCCCGAGTGCTGGGATCAAAAGCATGTGTCATCACTGCCCAACTCATAGTGGTTTTTTAATTTAAAAAATTTTGCAACCAGTTCTGGTAACCCACACCTATGATCCCAGTACTAGGGGGGAGGCTATGGGATATTGGAGAAGGATTGTTGTATGTCTCTTCTCTACAGAGAGAGATCGAGTCTCAAAACATACAAACAAAAAACCAACCTAAATAAAAATCTGCTTTAGCTTAATTTGAGAGGTACCCAGAAACCTACAATTCAGCTGCCTCCACATTGCACCTCATTTTTTTCATCAGAACAGCATTTCTTTTACACAAAGCTTGGCTCCTGCTAGTGACTCTTTTGGCCTCTTCTGTAAGAGAGGGTACCACTGTATCTCAGTGCCTGGCTCTGCCCAGCTGCTTTGCCCTCTGTACTATCTCGAGGCTGTGGGGGAGGGGTGGGGACAGAGTGTGCAGCAGAGTTCTCAGGTTTCCCAGAGCGGTGGGCGGTGGTCACCGCCAACTGTGTCTGTCAGATGTCTCTGGTGATGGGTGTGTGTTGGGCACAGATGGGTGTGTGGCAAGCCAGCACCTCTAAGCAGGTCTTCCACTGGTCAGTTCAGCTCTCCGATGTGACTCTCGGTCATCGGCTGAGAACCTGAGGGTGAGATGGTGACGTGCTGTTTGGTGCAGAGTTGAGCCGAGATCCACGAATGCTTTCCCTGTTGTGTGTTTCAGAGGCTGGAGCACAAGGAAGTGTTGGCCGGCCTGCTGTTCCTCGTGTTCCCGTTCATTCCAGCCAGCAACCTCTTCTTCAGGGTGGGCTTTGTGGTGGCCGAGAGAGTCCTGTACATGCCTAGGTAATTATACTCACGTGCTGCACAAGCCCTGAGAGCTCCAGAGAGACTGTCCTCTGTAAGGCAGTGGGTCTTTCTGAGGCCCGCCGTCGTTTCCAGGGACCAGGCTGGCTCCTGCACCGTACCTCACAGGCCGAGAGGGCCAAGTGTCGCAGTGGGACAGGAACCACAATTTCCTATAGTCAGGACACCAGCAGCAGCATTGCAATCCATGCTGTCATTGTCCAAGTGAGCTTTATGATTAGAGTTGTGATATTTTTAAATACTTGTTGATTTGCCCAGTACTATGTTCAGTATCTTCTTTATAACCCCCCCTTTAATTTAGAAAGTAGGAATTAAAGTGATATTTAGCTATGGCGTACACGTTGCTTAGCTTGCCCATCTGCCCTTTGTTTTAGCTCGTACGATGTTACTGAGTCAGGGGACAGTGTTGTTCTGACATTTACTAGTTGTGTGACCTTGAGCAAGGCATAAAGCTTTTTTATATCAGATTTCCTCATCTTTAAAAGGGAGAAATGGGCGATGCACACCTATAATCCCAGCACTTGGGAAGCGAGGCAGGAAAATCAGGAGTTCAAGGCCATCCTTGGCTAGAGTCGGTCTAAGAACAACCGGGGCTACATAAGACAAAACACAGACGCTCTGACTTCTGTTGCTGTGTCCTAAGCAGGGCTTTAGAATTCCTCCTTTACTTTAGGATTCAGGTGAAAATAAATCTGCATTATAAAGAAAATGTCAGTATTTGCCAGAGCAAGTGCCTGCCTCTGAGAGCCAGCCTGGATTTGCTTCGCCCCAGAGATGACTGTCCTTTTCTCTCAAGGCCCAGCCTGAATACCTCACACTCTTGCTGAGGGATTGTTTCTTCCATCAGAACCTGACCATGCCGCCCTTGTGCCCAGCAAAGCTCCTGCCCCTGCAGAGGGATAGTCTCAGCAGATGTCAAAGCCTTTTGGTCAGAGAGGTCTGTTGGCTTCTCATCCTTGAGCAATGGTCCTGAAGCTGGTAGACAGTCAGGTGCCTCAGGCCCTCCCTTGAGTTCTTAGTCCTCCTGACCACGTGAGCTGAGCTGTTGAGGACAGTAGGTAGAAACACATGGCAGATTTAGTGCAGGGACCCAGAAAGCAGTAGTGCCTTTCACATCCCTGGCCAGAGGCAAGGAATGCCCTTAGGGGACTCGGGCCTCTCGCTAGCTTTCTTCTCCTAAATGAGCACTGGAGGTTGGGGGGGGGGGACAACGGGACGGGACCGGACAGATACCTGAATCCCTTCTGGTGAACAGCTTTGGAATTCCACAGTAGAGCTAAGTTCTCTCTAGTTTCAATCCATCTCCCAAATGATTTTAGGGTCTCAACTCCTTTTTTTCTTTTTTTGAGACAGGGTCTCACTATGTAGCCCTGGCTAGCCTAGAGCTTGTCGCATAGACCAGGCTGACCTTGAACTCAGAGAGATCTGGCTGGTTCTACTTTCCAGAATATTCAGGATAAAGGTGTGCAGCACCATACCCAGCTAGGGTCTCAGCTCTTGAGGACATGTTACAATCTTACAATCTTTGGTGATGGGTGTCAGGGGTTTATTGAGGCCCAGGAAGGGAAGGCTATTAACTCCTGGCTAAAAGAATGGAATACTTCTGGTCCTCAAGGAGACATGACATTCTGGTCGGTGCCAAAGATTAGAACATTGTACATTATTGTGTACTCCATTTAGAGTTAATGCAGCTCTGAAATTTTTTTTTTTAAAATAAAAAAGTTAGTGTAGCTGGGCATGTCAGTCACCTCACCACGATACCACCCCTCAGGAAGAGTGTGATACCTAAAGCCACGCCAAGGAGATGGGAGGAATAATTATCCCTTTAATGAGATAATGTACTTAATCCTTCCCTAGAACCCTAGCCTGTGCAGTCACTCCCAGAGGCCCTGACATATAGCTCTCCTAAACTGGCCTGGTTTTTTTTTTAGTTACTCGGAGAAATGTACCTTTCCCTTTTCCTTTTTTTCTATCCCCTTTTTAAAAGCCTGCACACACTTTTCCTCGACAGGGCTTTCTCACCCTGTCTGACGTCTCCTCCACCATGACCTCCTGCAACTGCTGAGATTTAGAGTTGTCTACCCTTTGTTTTCTCCCAAACCCTGATAAAATTGTTATCGAGCTTCCTTTCAGGTCCTGTAGACTAAGGACCCACAAAAAAAAAACCTCCCAGCTTTACGCCCTAACTAAGAGAGGGGGGGGAGGAAGGAGGGAGGAAGGAAGGAAAGGATACCTAGCTGTCAGTGTTCCTGGAGAAAGTGAGCCTGTTACCCACTGTCCATCACACCACTGAGACACCCAGCCAGGCTCTGAGAAACCTCCTGGGTTCAGCAGCTGGAGGACTGATCTGGCTACTTTATAGAAAAGCCAGATTGAGCCTGACTCACTCTTTTTATCTTCCTTCTTTGTGATTAACAATGCTCACCACTTCTGCTCTCCTTCCAGCCTAAACCAGAAAAGGCCTTTTCTTATTTGCTGCCAGAAATCTTTGGATGAAAGAGACAGAACTTGGCTGTTTGCTTGGCTTCTGGGGTCAAAGTCTTACCAACAAAACACACAGAAATAACATTTTCTTGCTCTGATAAATGTCACTTTTGTGCACACCATATTTGAGCAGGGAAGGGAGTCTAGGGGCTAAAATCATTTTTTTTCCCGCAGAAATTTTGCTCTTTTATCCTGACTTCAAGAGAAATACATAATTGTATGGCTATCTTTCTAGCATTTTATATAAAAAAAAGACACACCAGAAGGGGGAAAAACAACTAAAACTGAATAGAATTGATGAAGCAAAAACAGCTGGTGAAAGCTGTAGGGTGGCAGAGAAGTCAGTTGAACACTCAGCCTCACGCCCCGCAAGCCAGCTGAGATCCTTTCAGTTTAGGAGCAGAGAGCGCATCCCCTGCTTCTGCAGGAGACCTGAATGAGCAGAGACGGGGATAGACTCCCCAGGACTCAGGGAGGGCAGGCATTTAGAAAAGACCACACCACACTCTTAGAAAGTCTTCAAACGTGTGCTTACAGGGACACTTTATATCCAAATCAAAGTGGGTGTAAAAGAAGAATTGCTTCTGTGTTTGTCTCTGACCTCTGGCATTGTATTTGTTAGTAAGTCCATGGCCACATGCCTTCCACACACTGCCCGTCTATGTTACACTGTATGACATACATCATAGATAAACTCAGTACTTGAAACAAATACTACCATACAAGTGAGCTTGTAGTTTCAAGGATATTTTTCATGAGTGTTCTTAAAAATGCTCGGGATTGTCTTGTAAATTGGACGTTTTGTTTGAGCAGGACTTTGATAAACTGGGTTATTTATAGTTCCAGTCACACACTTCATCCATGTGCAAAGTCATACAGCAACTGCTCTCATGAACACGAAAACCCTCCACATGGCAACATGGCCTCTCTCATTTTACTCAGTTTTTAAAACATGCTCACATACAGTATTTCATGTAACCCTTAGAGGTAGGTTTGCAGACAGTATTAATCCCGTAATAGATACAGTTAAGCCTCCAAGGGGTTAAGTGACTCAGACCACAAAGCCATTGAATTCTCTTGGCTCTTTTCTGATTTTGGAGCTCTCAGGAGTTCCCTTTCTGTTGTCCTGAAGCTCCAGACGGTCTCCTCTCGGATCCCTGCAGCTCCTCTACTTGCTGGTGACCTGAGATCTTAGGACCCTACTGTGTTTTCAGAACACTGTATTTGCAGAGATAACTGTTTTGACCTGGAACATATACAAATGTTATAGATTTTCTGCCTCCCAATCTATTCAGCAGAAACTAACTGCCTCTTCTAATATTACTACAGCACAAGAATCTTAATGTTATCATTTGTTATTTAATGTACAGTGAGCATAGTTCAGCATAAAATGATGTCCTTTTACAAAGGGAGGAAATTAAGAGCTTGTGAATTTAAATAATTCTCCCCAAATCAGCAAGTGTCAGGGTTGAGATACAGACCAAGGATTTTGTCCAACTTCAGAGACTTGTTTTATCTACCAGGAAAAGGCCTCATAAATCTTAATGCTGTTTCGTGAACTATGAGGGGGGAACGGAAGCATTGTATTGCAAAAAGCCCAAGAGAGAATTATGTACATTATCAAAACAGGAACCAATGACAGTTGCCCTGGTTATCCTGAGGACACATTGAAAAATGACCCAGTAATCTTTCATAGAGAATCACACGTGAAGAAACTTCCCATCTCCACCCAAGAGCACAGCACCTCGTGCAGGGACTAGGGAGCTGCTCAGCAATGCCACTGGGATGTTTTCCTTAGACTGGATAAACTCTCACCTCTGAATACATTCAGTCCTCTGGAGAATTCCCCATCAAACATTTGAGATGGGGAAAAAGTAGGGCAGAAGTGGGGGTACTCTTAGTATTGGCTTCTGAGTGGTCACCACTGGCGTGGGAAACAACCACCACCAGCTCTCAGCTCAATGCTCCATGGTTTTCCTTCTGAACCGTATGGGGATAGCACCCACAAAATTGGAATAAAAACTTACCATGAGGTCACTCGTGAGAAGCGGCATCAACGGGACACAGTAAAGTCAGAGGACACGTTCCTTTAGACCCTTCAGAGGAAGTGCTTAATAAAACTAGAGGGTTATGACCATCTTGAATGTTAGCTTTATCTGTAGATAGTCTTGGTGGATTGTTGGGGCTTGTTCACAAATTAGGTACTTTCAGCTGTGCTTGGTGGTACAGGCCTGTGATCCTACCCCACAAATCCTTCCTCACGGTACGGGAACGTTGATTAAATCTCTTTCTTTTAATTATCTTACTGAAGATGGGTGGACAAACCTGACTGTGACCCTAAGTCTGATAACACCCCCAAGTCTGATGACCTGATTTTGATTCCTGGAAACCACATGGTAGAAGGAAATAACCCACCCCCCCACCCCCACACCTCTACAAGTTATTCTCTGACCTCTGCATGTTCTCTCTCTCTCTCTCTCTCTCTCTCTCTCTCTCTCTCTCTCTCTCTCCAAAAGGGATGGAGGGAGGGAGGAAGAAAAGTAGGAAGGAAGGAAGGAAAGAAGGAGGGAAGGAAGGAGGGAAGGAAGGAGGGAAGGAAGGCTTTCTCTCAAGACAAAAGGGAGGGAGGGAGGGAGGGAGGGAAAAGGTAGGGAGAAAGGTAGGGAGAAAGGTAGGGAGAAAGGTAGGGAGGAAAGATGGAAGGAAGGAGTGGAGGGAGGGAAGGAAGGAGGGAGGAAATGAACCTTGTGATGACTACAGCCATTTACTGATGACTCTGTAGGTCTGCAAACTGCTTCCAAGTTTGATCTATTGGCGTGTGGCTCTGCAAGCTCAGACTTTGTCCAGTGCTGGGTTTGTGAGGGCTCCTGTGTGTTCTGTGTGGAAATCTCTGATCAGCAGCCCAGAGATTTCTTAGCCAGAGTCACCAGAGCAAGGTAGACTCAGGTTCCATCTCCCTGAAGAAAAAGGCATGTAGTTTCTCATTTCCTTGATTTTCCACCTTCTCTGTGGCCTTGTCCCGCCCCTGGCGATAGAAGGAACGTGTTTCTTTTGCCCACTGCTGGGAGCTGTACTGAAACAGATGTTGGAGGATGAAGTTTCAGGATGGAGGAGTCTCTCACTCACTGAAGTGTCTACATCTGAAGGAATGTAATGCTTCCCCCAAAATTGCAAACCTAGTGGAGATTACCATCTATGGCTTAGCATTTCTGAAACCATGTGTCAATTCAAGGACTTGAGAAAAAAATACCATTTTTTTTAATACAAAAATCAATGCCGAATGGCAAGGGAGTGGTTCTCCTCCATTCTCACAGAGCAGGGACCAGTCAGCTTTTGGCCCATGAGTTAGGTCTGGCCATCCACTGTTTTTACAAATAAATTTTGTGGGAGTATAGACGTGCCCATGCATTTTGTGCTTGGTCTCACATAAACAGAGTGAAGGAGACACGACAGAGGCCTGTGGCTTACACAGAGATGAAAGAACTTCCCCTCTGCTCTCCAAAGTCTAGATATTTATGTCCAGTAAAAGGAATTGACAATAAATAGATTGACAGGAGAAAAGACAAGCAAACATTAAAGTTCACGGACAGCACACCAACTCAGGAGCTCAGAGAAGGCCAAAGCTTCTGTGCTCTCCTTTTCGCGAGGCCAGTGAGGCACGTAGGTGGGTCTAGAAAGAAGAACGGACAGTGGACAGACACAGTGCCCTGGGGACAGTGAGCTGACACAGTGCCCTGGGTGTGGTGACTGGTTTTCAGTCTCTACTGTGGTAGGAGCTTAGTCTTTCTCATTAACGGTGTTTCCCTAAGGAACTTACGGGCAATTTTATTTCCCTTTGGTTGATACAGTCTTTAGGTAGATACAGGAACTTAAAAGAAAGCCCTTCCGTGTGTTCCTGTGAAAATAGGATTGAGAGATGTGAAGAAGGGAGGCCAGGATGGGGAAAGTCAGAGAGGTCTTGGGTGTGCTGCTTCCGTCTAGCAGGTAAATGCAGGGTGTTGAGAGATAATGTTTCATGAGACCTAGTATATAAAACATCTGCACTACTTACTGCCTAGCCTTTTAAAGAAGAGGTTTGTAATCCTCTCAGTTTTAGCATTCTACCAAAATCTTCATGTCTGGCTTGTTGAGCTTTGGGGCTGTAGGTGAGTTCTTCAACTCATCTGAGTTTTTAGTGTCTTCACTTAGGACATAGACAACACAGAGGATTTGTGTAGTGAGGAGCTGCGGGCAGGCCTGCTTTTCATCCCGCCCGACTCCTGCATGACTAGCTTAGCCCTGGAAATAACAACACACAAATTGTATTTATTTAAACACTGCCTGGCCCATTATCTCTAGAGAGTTAGTTACTGGCTAACTCTCACATCTTGATTAACCCATTTCTAATAATCTGTGTAGCACCACGAGGTGGTGGCTTACCGGAAAAGATTCAGCATGTCTGACCTGGTGGCTGGCTCCATGGCGTCTGCCTCATTGCCCTCTTCCCAGCATTCTGTTCTGTTTACTCCGCCTACCTAATTTTCTGTCCTATCAAAGGACCAAGGCAGTCTCTTTATTAACCAATGAAAATAACACATCGACAGAAGGCCCACCTACACCAGATTTGAAGTTCATGTCAGAAAACATACAAAAAGTACTATTCTTGTCCTGTGAATGCTGTTGAGAACTCAAATGGTGCTCTTAGCATGGTGCCTACTACAGAGCAAGTGCCTGTGAGTAGCACCCGGATATACAAGCTGGTGAGGGTTTCAGTCACTGACTTCCTTATTCTTGTCTACCAACACTTCAATGCCTTGCTGTGCAGCTGCTGGGGTCGCACCCCTTCCTTCCTGCTATTCTGTCCTAGGGCAGCTCTGGTTCCTCCAGCTGGTGAGGTCTCACAAATACAGAGCTAAAACGAAAGGCAGGTGATGCCGTGGGTGGGACTGATCCAGCCTGCACATCAGAGACCCTTCAGCAGGGCAGCATGCAGGGCAGTACAGGGTCCGAGTTCCTGGCTTAGTCTCACTGCTCCTCTGTCCACTAGATGTCTGACCTCATCCGACATCCTTAACCACCCTTTTTACCAGCTCTTCTTGGATTAAGAGCCCACGGCATCTGTAGCTTTGTGAGAAGCCATGGTGCTGAGTCAGAAGGTGCTAACCACACAAGATGATGGCCCCCCACCCCTCAGCAGTCTTTGTGTGGAGGAGACTGTCAAGAGTGAGCCTGGGATGCAAATGTCCGTATGGCATGCTCTTCATGCATTTCAGGGCTTCTCTCATATGCAGTTCTTATTTGATCATGTTGAGATACTCATTTTTCCATTGCTTGATTCTTTTTCATAGAGCTTAGTATAACACACATGCTCTAGATTTAAGCTATGTACTCATTTACTGTTTCTTGCCTATGTCACAGGATTATGATTACAGTCTTGCTTATTCATTGATAAGTTCTTGGTGTCTGTAATAGTTTTATATATAGTATTCAGTAAATTATAATAAGTGAGGGTGGACCCTCCAGTGAACTTGATCCCCAGTACCTGTGGAAAAGTGGGAGGAGAAAGTCAACTCCACAGAGTTATCCTTGGACCTTCACACAAGTGATATTCTCACACAGTAATATTTAAAAATTAAAATTCTTTTAAAAACAAATTATAGTATAGGAAATAATGGACTCCAATGGACCTTCTCATGGTCCCAGAAGTATCCTGATTAGTTTGAGGGATAGGGGAACCTGACTGGGGCAGAAGCACAGGAAGCAAGGAACCTTGCACACTCGAGCAGCCATTATGGTCAGGCATTGAAGTAACATTAGCACAACCGGTTCTACAGAAACTGTATTTGTAGAGCAAGGCCACGTCTCTAAGGTCAAATATGGGCATTACAGTGTGAGGAGACTGTTGGTTGTACTGGAGACCATTCTGGTTTGTATAAGGCGCTGAAGGACCTGCGCCAACTAAATTTAGTACTTGGGGCCACATCTGGGAACACTGGCTTCAAGTTAGTTGTTGGCCCCCATGGAGGTGGGATGGGGACTCCCTTTGGCAAACTTTATGTTCTCTGGAGACTATTCTACCAACAGGAAGACCTCTGTAGCTGCGTGAGTAGTGGGAGGGACAATGTGCTTTCAGAGATGTGGCTTAGGGAAACTGGGGCAAAGCTAGTGAGAAAACCTTACCAGTCCAGCTCAGGAGGCAGCCTGTGGGTGGCTTTGGAAAATAGAAAAACTTTAGCTGTCTCTGGTTGTAACATGAGGGGTCCTACTTGTTGGGGTTTCTGTCCCAACCGGTACCCCATAGCCAGCAAACCCCAAAGAAAATCCCACAGAGGACTCCATAAGATTATAAACTGATTGGCCCATTATAGCTTATATTAACCCATTATTCTCATCTGTGTTAGCCACGTGGCTCAGTATTTTTTCCAGCAGGACAGGTTACACCTTGCTTCTTTGTGGTCTGGGCAGGAATGGGAGGAATGGGCTTCCTAGAATACTCCTGTTCTCATTACCCCTCCTCTGCTTCCTGTCTGGTTGACCCGCCTATACTTTCTGCCTGGCCAACCAGCATTTATTTAAAATATGATTGACAGAATACAGACAATTCTCCCATACCATCTGGTCCTCCATGGTAATCCATTCCTCCCAGATGGCCCTCTGGGCTGTGGGGTAGGACCTGCGGTGGCTCTGGCTCTAAATTCAAACACACCTTGTGATGGAGGCATGAGGAAGCCTGGATCAGCATGTCTCCTCAGGTCCCATGTAGGACTACAATGCCTGAGGCATTGAACCTATGGCTTCACACCAATACTGGAGAGCTAGTGCCTGAGACAACCCACACTTGTCTGTGACAGTAGAATTCATATCTGTTCCTCTAGCACAGGATAGGCCTGTTTGGCCTGATACCATGCTTGGGGAACTACCTACCCATAATGAAACCCAACCCACAATGGCTGTCTTAATCATGGTTCTGTTGCTGTGAAGTGAGACCATGACCGTGACAACTCAGTTTCAGAGGTTTGGTCCGTTATCATCATGGTGGAGAGTGTGGTATCATAGAGGCAGAGCTAAAGTAGTAGCTGAGTGCTACATCCTGATATATAGGCAGAGAGAAAGAGACTAAGGCCAGCATGGGCTTTTGAAACCAGTGGCATACTTTCTCCAGCAAGGCCACGCCTCCCAATCCTTCTAATCCTTTCAAATGGTATCACCCTCTAGTGACAAAGTATTCAAATACATGGGCCTATGGGGACTATTCTTGTTTAAACCACCACAGTGACTCCCTGACCCACAGTGACCCCTGACCCACAGTGACCCTTGACCCACAGTGACTCCCTGACCCACAGTGACCCCCTGACCCACAGTGACTCCCTGTCCCACAGAGACCCCTTTGACCCACAGAGACCCCTTTGACCCACAGTGACCCCTGACCCACAGTGACCCCTGACCCACAGTGACCCCTGGCCCACAGTGACCTGCTCTTGTGCTGTGTTCCAGCATGGGCTACTGCATTCTCTTCGTGCATGGACTGAACAAGCTGTGTGCTGGGCTGAGCCGGTGTGGGGCCACCTCCCTGATGGCGTCTACTGTGTTGCTGCTACTGCTTTTTTCCTGGAAAACCGTGAAACAGAATGAAATTTGGTTGTCGAGAGAGTCCTTGTTCAGGTATGACAGAGCAGGTAAATGTACGTTTTATCCCGCTCTCTTGCTGATGACAGATTTGTTTCCGAGTGAAGTAATGCGGGTATGGCACTTTGTGCTAATCTGGAAAATCACTTTTAATAAATTTGAAGTTTGGGGGGTTTAATTTTAGGATTTTAAAAGTAATATATAAAATTTAACATGCACTCACTCCGGGTGGATTTATAAGAGGAAGGAGATTCCGGGTCTGTGAAATTGGGTGGAAACAGCCACTGATGAGGTGGGCGGCTAAATCAGTCACCAGATGAGTTCTCTATGCCTCGTTTTATCACTCAGCCAGGTGCAAGAGGAAGGTGAGCACACAGCAGGAGGGCAGGACAGGCAGTGACTTCTCTGGAAAATTCCAGATCTTTAAATCATAATCCATGGCCTCACTGTTCATCATCGCTTATCTTAAACATTAATTTAGGTGAGGAAATAAAAGACTTCCTTTTCTGGTGTGTTTTTTTTCCCCTCTGTGATGGAATATTTTTCTGAATACAAGCATGTTAGCAACTCGGGGTAGAGCACTTGCCAAGCACACTGGGTTAGATCCCTAGCATCATTCATACGTGAGTGTGTGTATTGATGTGCTTATGTATATATGTTATATGTATATATACATATATGTGAATGTATGCGTATATGTTTATAAATATGTAAATATATTATATATAAACACATGTGCATATATGCACATGCACATATGTTCATGTGTATATATGCTTGCACGTGTACATATGTTCATTGTGTGCATATTTACATAGACATGTGTGTGTGTGTTAATCTATAGCTTTCATCCTGTCCAAAGTACGAATATTAGTATTAGTTGTAAAGAAGTAAATGTGTGAATGAATGAATGAATGAATGGAGGAATAAGGCAGATGTTCAGCGGGCTCTGCTACCTTTTGAAAATAATGTGTCTGAGGCTGGGTGTGGTTGTGGACATCTTTAATCCCAGTACTCAGAAGGCAGAGCCAGGCAGATCTCTGTAACTTCGAGGCCAGCCTGATCTACATAGAGTTCCAGGACAGCCAGGGCTACACTGTGAGACCTTGTCTCAAAAAAGAAAAAAAAGAAAAGAAAGGAAAAGAAAAGAAAAGAAAAGAAAGAAAGGGAAGAAAAGAAAAGAGAAGAAAAGAGAAGAAAAGAAAAGGATAGAATGAGAATGTGTTTGATTTTATGACCCTGCAACATAGGCATTTTTAGCGTAGTTAGTTTAGAGTGCCTGTCTGGGTGTCATTGCAGCACAGTCCCACAGAGCGACTGTTTACCAGATGTAACAATGGGTTTTGTGTTGACACTCTCTGCGTGAATACAAAGGATTTGAGCACACTCATTTTGCGTTCAGTCTTCTGTGTCCTGTCCAGTGATCACCTCCTTCCACACTAACACCCTGTCTACTTTCATTTCTTTTTTCTTTTTTTTTTTTCAAAAAAAAAAACAAGTTTGAAGATTGTTATTTTATGTGTATGGGTATTTTGTATGCATGCATGTCTGCACACCACATATCTGTCTGGTGCCGACAGAAGTCAGCAGAAGGCATCGGATTCCTGGGAACTGGAGTTACAAGTTGTTGGGAGTCATCATGTGGGTGCTTGGAATCAGGCACAGGGCCTCTGTAAGAGCAGCTCTGCTCTACACATCTGGGCCTCTCCAGCCCTCTTCCCTTTGTGGTGGCCCAGTGAGTTCCTTAGGACTGTTCATAGCTGAAGGCTTACCCAAGGCTAGACCACTGAAGACAAAGTCTCTTCCTACCTTGCAGCTGTTTCATTTCTGCTTGTTTAAATGTGTTCTTCCCTTCACAGTCCTGATAAGGAACTCTTGGGCTTTACCCTTGCCTCCTGTTCACTGTGGTCCTCACAGAACAGAGGCCCCTCCCTCCTCATGCCTCAGTCCAGGGGCACTGAAGTTCAGACACAGAGCTTCCTCCTGGTCTCTCAGTTTGATCTTTCTCTCACTTTCAGTAGTTGACTTTTTATGAAACACTTCCCAGCCATTCTGCTATTGTGTCGAGCATTTCCCCTGAAGAAAGCCACACATTGGGGATGGCATCATATATGATATTTACTCCTTAATCAAAGCAACTTAGGTTGTGTGTGGGGGAGCGTTGGCTCCCAGGACAGCAACCTAGAGTTTAAACCCTCTGCAGTTAACACTGGTAGTTAAACAGTAAGTAAAAACAGCAACAATAATAAGACTGGAGCACACACTGACTTTTTTTTTTTTTGAAGCCCAAACTTTCTGTCCCTTTCAGTGGAAGTTTGTTGGGAGTGAGTAGTTGGTCACTACAGCACAACCACCCCACAGCTGTGCTGAAAGGGACTTTGGCCTGGGAGGCCTTTGAAGATGAGGTGAATTTTTGTGTCAGGGGCAATCAAAGTAATTGATAACTTTAAATAAGACTTTGACGCTGTCTAAGTCCTGGGAAAGCTGGAGGCTTGTAGAGTCTTTTCTTCTTTAAGGCTAGATGTGTATGCGACTTCATCTGTGAGGAATAATGCTGAGCCCACTTGGACACTTCACTACCAGCTGCTGGGGCAGGACAGAGTGAAGGCAGCATCAGGAGTTAGACTTTCTGACGGCTAAGTTCACCTGCTTAACTGCTTTCTCTGGGGCAAATCCCTTAAAGTTCATGGAAAAATAGAGAGAACAGTGTTTATCATCTAACATATGATGTAAGAATAAAACAGTGCATAAGAAATGGCCTTCAACAATGTCTGCCGTGGAGTGAACACTGTGTGCAGTTCTCAGAGTATAACTGTCCTGTGTTCTGGGAGCATAGATGAGAAAGACACAGGATGACAGAGAGGAAGGAACCTGGAGAGGAGGACTCCTGTACCTCCTGATTCTGTGTTACCCTCTCGGCACAGTTCGCACACCTCTGTACCGATCACAAGTCCAGGCAAAGGCCTGGAGATTGAAAGAAACACACAAGAGACCTGGGTCATTCGAAACGAGATCAGCCAAATGCCACTTTATTCAGCTTCTTGCAAAACTAATATACTTTGGCTGCTGCAAAAGGATTACCTCCCAGGCAGGTGGGAAATTACCATACCAAAGATGAAACAATGCCCTACAGCTAATCACCAGCTAGGGCAGAGGGAGCACAGGAGCAAACAGGATGCTTAGCTGGCTGGCCAGAAACCATCCTCAATATTCACCCCAAGGAGCAAGGGTAGACCAGGCCCTACAGACTCCTTGGAGGACCTGGGAGCCAGCTTAGAGAAAATGTTGCTGGAATCCTCTCTCTCAGCATCAGTTACTACCCAACTCTAGCAAGGAGCTTGATCTTGGCTTTGGTTGGAATTTCTGCCCAAATACTTACCAGACTCTGGCCTGTTCATCTGTATGACAGAGCACAGCAGTTGGCATCTGCCCGAGAGTGAAATGATGACACGTGGTGGGCGGGCCCTCGGCCCAGTGTCTGACTGAAGATGAGCCATACACAAGCATCACCGTCTGTTGTGGCAGGATGAAACCTTGGACCAAAGCAGGGTCCAAAACCAAGGAGGGATTTAGCTTTCCTTTGCTTTGCTCTGATGCTCTGTCTGCCATTAGTAATGCCTTAATGTTTAGTCTCTAGCTACGAATTGGAGATGGTTCTACCACCCTGCTCTTCAGTAATGTGAACTAAATGAGCTGTGTTCTAAACCTGGAGAGACGTCTGATGAAGGTGTCCGTTTTGTTGTTGTTGTATTTTGCTTTTTACTCTTTCTTCTATTTCTCAAGTCCTCTACCAATAAGAGGTGTGAGGGAGACATGGAAAATGCATGTGTTAAATGCTGATCGGTATGGGCTGGAGAGATAGCTCAGTGGTTAAGAGCACTGGCTGCTCTTTCAGAGGACCTTGGGTTCCTGACACCCAGCTCACAACCACCTGTAACTCCTGGTCCAAGGAATCAGATGCCCTCTGCTGGCCTCTGAGGGCACTGCACAGACTACAAGATAGCAAAGCACACGTACACATAAAATAAGTCTTAAAAAACAAAACAAGATGCTGATTGTTGACACGATGCTGGGACCTCAGCACTTAGGAGATGTGCATGCCCACACTAATTTGGTTTTGGTGAACATATGGTTCCTCAAGTCTCTCATTGGCGTGATAGAAATAAACAAGATTACGATGTTTTAATGATGGGTGCCCAGAGCAAACTCTAGGATCACCCCACCTAACTGGGTCTCCCTCGCTTCGTTCTGTTATCACCGTCCTGCCCTCCGCTCCTGTGGGTTTGAATTCTTCTGACACAGCATGTTCCCTACCTGTGGCTTTTATAGTGTCTTCCAGGCCCTCTCTGGTGTCACACAGTGCACAACCTCCTTTTGTAAAGCTGAATAATATTCTGTTGTATATATAAGTGACAGTTTGGTTTTTGTTCATCTATTCATGGGCCTTGTAGTACAATGTTTTTGCTCTTTTGTCGTTTTGGGGGTCCCACCACCCAGCTCCCAAATAAGACACAAACAGAGGTTATTCTTATTCTTAGTTATGAATACCTGGCCTTAGCTTGTCTTGTTTCTTTCCAGATTTATAGAAGTTATCCCATGTGCCTTTCCCTCTGGGCATTTATCTTTCTTATTTCTGTAAATCTTACTGTCACTCTTACTCCGTGATTTGCTGGGTGGCTGACCCCTGGCATCCTCCTCTCCTTGTTCTCTCCTTCTATTTATCCTCTCTGCCTGCCAGCCCCACCCATCCCTACCAGCCCCACCTATCCTGCTCCTGCCTCACCGCTAGCCGTTCAGCCCTCCCTTTCTTTTCTTTTTTAGACCATCAGGTGTTTTAGACAGGCAAAGTAAAAGAGTTTTACAGAATTAAACAAATGCAACATAAGCAAAGTCACACACCTTAAAATAATATCCCCAACAGCCTTATGTTAGTATGTCCTGATCATGGTGAATAAGGGGGAACGTTATTTGATGCTGACCCTGGCACTGGTTTCTCAGATGTCACAATGAAGGGTGAGCACAGGCCAACGGGAACAGAAATGAAGAAATGGGACCACATAAAACCGCAAGGCTCCTATAGCTGGGTGTGATGGTCATGGGATCATTAGTGTGAACCGAGAGCTTGGGCTCCGTAGTATGGTTGTTTTCAACATGCCGGGAATAAGTGCAACCGAGGGCCTGGTTAGAAAATGGAGCCCTGGCAGACTCCAGGGGGGAACAAAACCCAGTTCAGCCGTCTTTAGACACAGTGCAGAAGTTCTGCAAAGGGTTGAAGATAGAGTCATCACGTGACCCGGCAGTGTGTCCCTTGAGTCACGTAACCAGTGATGTTTCGTTGTGGTTAGCTGAATGGACTCTCACTTGCTTTGTTGCTGCTGCTGTTGCTATTGTTTTCATTTGGTTTTTTGGGTTTTTGATACAGGCTTTCTCTCTGTAGCTCTGACTGTCTTGGAATTCACTCTGTAGACCAAGCTGACCTTGAACTCACAGAGATCCGCCTGCCTCTGCCTCCCTAGTGCTAGGATTAAGGTGTCTGCCACCACTGCCTGACCTATCACTTTCTTGGCAAGGCTTTTGATGCTTCCACAAACTTCATTTCATCAATTATATAATAATTATCTCTGTAATAATTTAAGTTAGCATAGACTTGATATGGCAATATTAATTTCAATAAATCGTATCAATAGAGATGTCAGCCTACATTCAGCCCTCTGGTAATGATTCATTTTTGTACTCAATCCCAAATTACTGAAAGGAAGGAAGGAAAGAAGGAAGGAAGGAAGGAAGGAAGGAAGGAAGGAAGGAAGGAAGGAAGGACACACCAAAAATGGATTAACTGAGTGAAGGAAGGAAAAAGAAATTATTCTCAGAGCTTCAGCTTTGTTGGCTGCTCAGTTCTGCTGCTATTCTGGGCTGAGCTCACTGATTTGTTGAGCCCTACCCACTTATGAGAGTTTCTTTCACTACCCCTATCTCCTAACTGCCCGCATGGCCTCACCCTTGTAAGATTCTGAGAATAGACTCCCTGGCCATTTTATATCCCAGCGCCTGGCACAGCATGGTGCCAAGGTGACCACCACACAGATGCTGAATGACTGTAGCGTTTACTTCTGTAAACTGGTTTAAGCCACCAGACTTCTGGGATGCTGCATACATTCTAGACACGGGCATGGGGTCAGTCAGTGTCTTGATGCCCAAAGAGGAAGCCAGCATGTGGGAAAAGAGAGAGAGAAGTCACGGAGAGAGGGCAGCATTTGTCAGAACTCGTCTTGTGCCTTGCCTTGAAGGGCAGTGTTGGTGCTGAGCTGTGCATTCTCCCTTTGTGGAGTCCAACTCGCCTCGCCTTCTTGTGCCTTTGTATTGCACACACATCACTTAGGCTACTTCACTTTCCATCCGTAAGTAAAAAGCCTTCACCCGAAGCAGACATGAAAGAGAAGGGCATGCCCGGAATCCCTCAGCAAGGGGCAGTGCCTGTATCATCTTCTGCAGGGTCTGACTTAGCTTCATCATCTCTTACATCACACTGTGCTCTAACTGGCAAGGACAGACTGGCCTGGACAGCTCAAGGCTTTGTGTCCGGGTAGTGTTCTGCTCCTTCATGTCTGCAGCTGGGTTCTGCTGCGCCTAACAGAAAGCCTCAGCCAAGATGACCACACCTTACCAAGCCCCAGGTGTGTCTCCAGCAGAGAGAAGGGGCCCCATGCTTCCCTGCAGAGAACATCTTGTTCATCATCCAGTTGTGCCTTCACTCCTTCCCTGTGCAGCCACTCACATAATTCACAACACTCAGAAACCTTTTGGACGTGAAAACAGTTGGCATTCAAAGACAGCTTCATAAAACTGGGGATAGAACACAAAAGAACCTGACAATAGTGTGATTCTTGTTTTCTTTCTTTTTATCTTAATGTCCTCTGTAGGTCTGGAGTTCAGACTCTGCCCCACAACGCGAAGGTTCATTACAACTACGCCAACTTCCTAAAAGACCAAGGTCGGAACAAGGAAGCCATCTACCACTATAGAACCGCCCTCAAGTAAGCACCACAGAAGGCCATTGCTTTATACCGTGCCAAGGCCGGTCACGTTACGCTTCTCCTCCCATGGTGTGAGGCCCGTCATTTCTCTTGACAATGAACGCACCCTAGGGAGTAAGAGGGCTCTTGGATTCTGAGTCTCCGGGCTCAGTATTCAAGTCTGTCACAAATGTACTCAGTGTTGCTTCTGCTTTCTTGTTCACTATCTTGCAAAGTAATAATAATGATGATGATGATAATAATAATAATAATAATAATAATAATAATAATAAAGTCATTGCTGCATATAATAGTGGGATGATACTCAGCTGGATTATGCAAATTTGCAAAGCAAATTTCTTGTTAAAAGTACACTGTAAGTTTGGGGGGATACATGTCCTAATGGACCTTTAACAGCATGTATATTGACCGCTTTAGGCCTCTCTTATCCCTTTTTCATGTATGCTAAGGGGCACACATGTATTCCCCCCATATGGAGGCCTGAGGTTCCTCAGAGGTCATTCCTTAGGCACTGTACGCTTGGTTTTGATACAGTTTCAGAGGCCTAGAAATTGCTGATTAGATGAGACTAAATGGTCCTTGAGACATGTTTCAAGAAAGCTGAAAAAGAAAAGCAAAGATATATTCCATCACAGGTATTTGTAACGTATGTTTTGGCCTTCATCAAATGTTTCACAGCGTCTCATGCATTTTTGAAGGGAGGCCATGGACAGTCGGTGGAAGAAAAATTATCTACATGTTTATGAATTCTGTCAGCTTCAAATAGACAATTCTGACCCTAACCCACAGCGGGGCCAAAGGTTTATATTAAGTGAAATCCTCTGCCAGTTGCTGCCACAAAATTATAGTTGCTAATATTTCTGCTTCTTTCCTGTGAAACAATAGAAATAAATGTTTACTTCTAGAAGAAATATATGCCCTGAATGAGGGAAGACAATCAGAGCTTAAAGCCAGTGCTGAAATTAGTGAGTTATTTATTTCTGTCAGCCTAGATCCCAAATGTTTCTGATTTAAAATTTCATTTTTGTGTGGACTCCGCTCCCAAGGACCTTCAGCAGATACCAGTGTTTTACTTTCTGTTTTGAAATAGGTTGTCATTCTTTGTGTTAAACAGAAAAGGAAAAACCCCAGGGTCATTCATCACTGTGGCAATTGTCTGTCCTTGGTGATTCAGTTCTGCTATTTCTTAGGCGTTTTTGAGAGAGGTCATCTCCTACCCAAGGCTCATCTCCTCCAACCTTGTTCAGCTCAAGCTATCTGTATTTACTACAGCAAGAAAGATGGTTTTAGCACGAATTCTAATTGTTCTTAATAAAAACCTGCAGTCAGATATTAGGGGTTGAAAGCTGAGAGATCAGAGAAGCAGAGTGTCCAGCGACCAGAGAGTTCTCACGTCTACCAATGCTCAGACCAAAGGGGCGATCCTGTCCTCAGACTGTCTCCTCAGCCTGCACTGAGCTCCTGTCTGCTCCCACCTTATACTCCTCTCTCTGTCCAGCCCTATCACTCCTGTCTCTACCTCCCTAGTGCTGGGATTAAAGACGTGGGATCCCAAGTGCTGGGATCAGGTTTGTGTGAGCTGTTTCTCTTTTAGACAGATTCAATCTCGTATTACCCATGGTGGCCTTGAACTAACAGAGATCCCTGTGCCTCTGTCTCCTGAGTCCTGGGATTAAAGGCGTGAACCACCACTCCCGGACCTCTAGTGGCTTAGCTCTGCACTCAGATCTTCAGGCAAGCATTATTTGTTAAAACACAAAGAAAACCTCATGATAGAGAGTCACTGGGGAAGCAGAAACTTAAAGTCAGTGAGGTCTGGAGTCAGTTCCTCAGTCTCCTGATTGCTGAAATGACCATGTAGACTCCACAGGCAGTGGCATTTATCCACTGTGTTGGTGGAGAGCAGAGGAGAAGCAAGTGGAGCCAGGCTGTAAACCTCAGAGCGCCCAGTGACCTCCTTCCTTCGGCGAGGCGCTGACTCCTAAAGACTCCCTAAGTCTCTCAAACAGCAGCTCCACCTGAGGGCCAGTGTTCAGATGCACGGGCCCCTTTCGTTTCATGTGCACACCGCCTTAGAAAGCATCCTTAAATCCATAACCTTTGGCCACTCTTGCACCAGCGAGCACATCTGACCTGGCAGGTCCGTCAGTTTTACTGTATGCAGACAGAGTTCGTCCCAGGAGAAGTCCACTGATGGGTTTTTCTCCTCCCACGGCTACACAGCATTTCTGGCGCTTTGAACGCTAGCTTGCAGAGGAGACATTTTCAGATCAGTTCCAGCTTGATCTCCCAGAGTCCTCCACAAGTGTGTCGTATCTGCAGCAATAGGTTCTTACCATCTAGTTGTGGGGGGCAACCAATAGCAGTGGTAATAGACTGGTTTGCTGGAGGCATTGTTTGGGACTTCCTGACCAACAACTCCTAGGGAGATGTCTTAGTTACTTTTCTATTGCTGTGCTAAGATACAATGACCAAGGCAACTTATACAAGAAATAGTTTTGAGGGTTCTTAAAGTTTCAAAGGGTGGGTCCATGACCATCATGTATGAATCATGACAGCAGGCACGTGGGCATGGTGCTGATACCACAGCTGAGAGCTTACACCTTGATTCACAAACACAAGGCAGAGAAAGAACTAACTGGGAATGGATAGGCTTTTGAAACCTGAAAGCCCACCCCGGTGACTTATCCCCTCCAATAATGTCACACCTCCCAGCCCTTCCAAAATATCTCCACCAACTAGGGACTAAGCATTGAAATATATGAGCCCATGGTGGGGGGCTGTTCTCATTCCGAACACCACGGGAAGGATCCCACAATGGACCAGGCTCTTTGCTCTTGGATGACAAAATTTTCTCTTGTACAAAAGAAATCTCCAGTGTGATGGTTGGTTTCCATTGTTAACCTGACTGATGAAGAAACACCTAGGGCACTGATGACACCCACCACCAAGTGTACCTGAGAGGGTGTTTCCAGGGAGGAAAGACTGCTCTGAATGTAGCTGGCACCACTCTGTGAGCTGGGGTCTTCAACTGAGTGAAAAGAGAAAGGGAGGATGTTGGCTGGGTGCCAGCATTACCCTTTGGGGTAGGTACGAGCAAGCATCCTCCTTTCCCCTTGCTTTCCCCTTAAGATAGAGTAGGTACGAGCCAGCAGACTCCTTTCCCCTTGCTTTCCCTGTGTTTATCAAAACAAAAGAAGGAACCAATACATCTGCCCAGTGTTTGATTGGGAAAGAATTTACCTAAAATCTGTTGCCATTTGCTTAGCGGATAGTCTTGTCAGGAGAACAGAGCCCGTCGATGGAGTTCTTTGTATTTCCTCCTGCACAGGATGACTGCAATCCTACAGGGGATCCCATAGATTGAGATGAGTGTCTGTGGGAACACAGACTAACAGAGGAATGAGTATCGAAGACACACGGCTGTCTTTAGAGTCTGAGGAGACCTGAGATGTCTAAGTAGCCACTGCTCTCGGTGCCTCCAGTCTGTCAGCCTTAGCTCCTTGCCATTCCCTTAAAATGCTGTTTAAAAGCTGCTGGGGTTGGGTCGTTAGAAATCAGGAGTCAGCGAGGGTTTCTGAAAGCTCCTTTACATTCTTGCTGAGGGGACATTTTAAATGTCTTTCTCGTGACCATGGCACCATCTGCCCTGTGTCTTTGGAAAAATTGAGATCCCAATATTGTTTATTAGCCAGGTTTAGCTGGGCGGAGACGGTTTCTTTGGCTGGTGTAGTAATTTTACCTGTGAAGTTCTAAAGAGCTTTCCAATATCACTAGTAGGTGTTTGAAATGATTTTTGTTTCTTTCATGTTGATGAACCAAGAAGAAATTACATTCTTAATCTACATACATGCGCACACACGCACACATCAAATGCACACGTGCATATGTGCACATATATATACATATATATGCACTTTTATTATGTCTCATAAAGATTAAGGAATTAACATTACTTAGAAAAATACTGAACTTTAGTGAAATTGTGGCCAACATCAACTGAGTTTCGAAATGGAAGTGTCATTATTTATCTTCAGGAAAGTTCCGTGTTTTCTGGCTGCCTCTTTTCCTCCCCACGTCTCTCTTTCGTTTAACTAGCTTGGCCGAGGCTTCCCAGGATGCAGACTCCAGGGCAGAGGTTTGGATGCAGGAAGTCCATCCAGAGCATTCTCATAAACACAGGAAGGAAGCAGAGAGCAGGACGGACCCTGAGCACTTCTGCAGCGGGGCTGACCACTCAGAGCTGTCAGGAGCAGACGTCAGTCTAGACACCCGCTTGTCCCCCAGGCAGGCAACACCATAGGTGTCTGGTGGGGAGGAGATGGGCCTGGGTAGCTCCCACATCCTGCCAGGTGGAAGCGAGTATCTCCAAACTGAAGGCACACGCTCCAGAAACCACATACTGCTTCTTTCCAGGAGAGGTAGCGCGTACCCAAAATGCATGGGATCTGCAGTGTTTTAGAGTTCATAGCATTTCATCAGAATAAAGTTTTGACTTTGTGTTAATGAGGATGGTGTTGCCACCTCATTCATCTCATTATTATCCCTGCAGTAGACTTCAAGTAACATTCAACTCACTCATCAAATAGCAACCAAAAGCAAGTTCTGACCGTAGTCACCACTCTTCCTGCCCCACCTGCCAGCTAGACCCTGCGGCACAGGCTGGCCTTGAATTAAAACAATCCTTCTGCCTCGGCCTCCCCAGTGTTGAAATCCTAATGGTTCTCCACTGTCTTAGTCACAGTTCTATTGCTATGAAGAGACACGATGACCAAGGACCAAAGCAATTCTTTTTGTTTCTTTGTTTGCTTTGTTTGAGACAGAGTTTCTCTGTGTTAACAGCCCTGGCTGTCCTGTAACTCGCTCTGTAGACCAGGCTGGCCTCAAACTCAGAGAGATCCTCTGCCTCCTGAGTGCTGGGATCAAAGGCGTGAGCTCTGCCACTTGGCGACCAAGGCAATTCTTTTAAAAGAAAACATTTTATTTGGGAATGTGCTTAA